CAACTATTTCTATTTTCAAAACACTCTACAATTTTACTTATATGATTACTCTTGTATAGTATTCCTTTTACAAACTTGATATGTTCTTCTTTTGTTTTATCAGGTAATGAGATAGAAGCAATTTTTGCTTTATAATCTCCTGTTCCTTCACAAGAGTTTTCATTAGATACCTATACACTATCCTCTAGAAAGGTTCTATATAGTTCCTTATAGTTTGCAACTACATGTTCTATTTGCTTTTTCTAATATTCTTTTGTGTTATTAATTTTTATTTGTGAAGTTCCAAGTAGAGTATCTTCTGTATCCTCTAGTATTAGATCTTTAGTCCTTTGTACTAAGTTTACTAGCTCTTTTTCTGTAGTCACTGTACTAGTTATACTATTTTCTAGACAAGGTACTAATAGGTTTACAGAGCTACTTTGTTCTTGCTCTCTTAAAGCTTCTTGTATATCTTTTAACTGCTCATTTATAAACAGAATTTTAACTGCTATTTTGTTACTATTTGTGAGCTTTTTTTTTAGATACTCTACTTCTTGGTGACTATTGTCTCTGTGTTGTATTCTAGATTTTTTGTTTTAGAAGACATAGTTGCTACTGTATAAGTACTTGCTAACTGTACTTCAAGCTCGTTCATTGGTATTATATTATTTTCTTGTTTGTTGTATTTGTTATTCTGGTCTGCTTCGCTAACTGAGTTAGTACTATTTTTCAGTTCTACTAAACTTCTTTTAGCTTCTTCTGCTAATGCTAACTCTTGCTCTAGCTCATTAAGAGCATAATCTAATATCTCTTTGCCTTCTTCTATAATAATATTCTTTATGATTCTATACCAATTTCTAGTCACTATAATAATTTTAATACTTATCCCTGTAATTTTTGATATATATTCATCTATTTGTTCACAGCATTCTTCTATTTTTTCTAGTATGCTTGTTAGTTTTTAGAAGTCTTCTTCCTTAAGTAATGCTTTAAGGCTTGCTGTCTTTTTAGAGCTTAGTAGATAGTTTTCCTTTAGATAATTTATTTGACTACTCTCTTTATTCCTATTCCTTGAATCTAAGCTTGTTATACTCATATTTGAAATGACTTTGGCTTTTTTCTAAAAAACTCTGAATTTCTTTTTAATTACCTGTATTTTGTCTAGTTTCTGACTTGTATACTTCTATTCTATTAGCTATCATGTGATATATCTGTTT